AATGATCTCTAAAGATACGTTTTTCACTAGTTTTTCAAAAGGAAAATGGAATATCACACATCAATTTAAATCTCATCATAGTTAAAGAACACCTGCATAGAAGTTTTTCTTTTCGTCAAGAGCTTACAGCTTTCCAGTCTTTCATATTAAAAATGTTGCATTCCAGAATCCAGGATGGTTCTCTTTTTATCACTTTTAATTATGTATTTATGGTTTTAATTTGATGTAAACCGCCCAGAGTCCCCCATTGTGGGGAGATGGGCGAGGACAAGTCTAATAAATAAATAAATAAATAAAATTTTCTAATTGTTCCACTTGTATTACCAAGTTGATCATGTAGTGACCAAGACTGGAATCATCTTGAACTATAGTGTGGCAGATAAATGTATTTTTTCTCCTCTAGGAGCAGAATTTATTTTCTCCTTGAAAATTTATTCTCAAATGAAGATATTGCAGATTCATACATTTAACAAGAATTTAAATGTTTTCTAAACCTTTCAAGATTTACATAAGAAAATATGAAATAGATAAGAATTAAATGGAGACATCTAGAACTTCCTCTAGGACTATAAGGACTGTAAGAGGAAAAGACATACCAAGGAGTACTATATTCAATTTTCTAACCTTGTGAGAATTACAAGGTTCAGTTTTGAAATATTCCTAGCTGGGATTATTTGTAACTTCAGTTATTAACATTAGAATTTACTATGACTGTTTAAACCAAATTGTTCAGTAACAATAAACAATTACTACAGGAAGTAATTGCTGTAATTATTGGAGCATAATTATTGTTAAGTTCATTCTTGGTGCTGTATCTCCATCTTCTGAGAGTCAGTATTACTGAACCAATTCCTTCCCCTTTATTTCCATCAGGCTATCTATCCATCCATCAACCCATTATTATTATCTTAGAACCATTAGCCTTATCAAAATAAATGTCACCCTTGAAAGTTAATCTATCTCTTTACCTAGTGTAAATACAAAGAGATATGTAAGCTATATATAAACTTTTCCTTCTTAAAATCCTGGAGTTTTTTGTGAACACACTCTTCAAATTCACCTTCAGGTCCACTGTTCAAATAGTCAAGTGAACTTGATGTGCCAACCCTCAAAGAGAAAAGGGGATGAAGATTCTCTTCTCCAGAAGTGAAACATGCTCTGTATTCATCACATTCAGCTGATAGTGCCTTGATGAGCAAAAGATCAGAGCAAGGACTTCGCTTCATTCTCTCAGAGAGTTGCCACCTGTTCTTATTCATTTAAAATAAATGTTAGTCATCAGCTCTTTTATTTAAACATTTCTGCAGTTTTTTTAAAAAAGCTGAATATACCATGATTAATTCTTCCAGTGAATATCAAGCGTAACCAATAATGCTGGTATGTTGCCTGTTGAATAGTGTTTCATATGAGAGAGAAAGAGAAATTGATTGATTGATTGATTGATTGATTGATTGATTGATTGATTGATTGCCTGGAGAGCAATTTATTTGGGACGATAAAAATGACCATATAACCAGAAACATTTGGTGAATTTTCAACCTTTTTGTTATTTTTAGCAAATGAAACCATTTGTTTAATCTTAAAACAGACTAACTTAGATAGCATCATTGCTGAGCAAGTTTTCCCACTCCCACCAATGAAATGAAACAGGAGCAAAAGATGCCACTTTATGTTTTGTGTTTCTGAATATCAACAAATAATAGCCAATGAAGTAAAGAGAGGATGAATAAAGTCACTGTGCTTCCTGTTATTCAATGTTAGTAAGGAGAGAGAAACAAAAAGCTGGATGGGCTTCATAAAATTACATTCAAGCCTTTGCTATGGCTCTTTTTAGGCATTATTAAGGTCATTATATTCACCACGTAAGAGATAGTAATATGCCCTGCCCTTCAATTTTGTGCTCTGATGTAGATCACAGCACAAGGGCATCTGTAAACATGTTGGCTTCTATGCAAACCTGAACGATGCTAGCACAGTGATGTCATTTCAGCATAGGCAAGATTGCCAGTATATCTCACATGTGAATGCAGCCAGTTTGATAACCCAAATAGGGGTCACAGTGTTTAACAGAAAGTTTACTGTTTGCTTATATTTACATGACCTTGAAATAAAAAAGTGCTAGGATAATAGTAGAATCAAGCCTCATGATAATAAGTAGACATATCAGACTTCAGCGATAATTTCTAAAATGGATTTAAAACTATTCCACAGTCCCACTATGCATCATTTTTAAATTAAAACAGGTAATGAATTACAATTGTGGTAAAAAGTTTGGGAAAACCAGAATCAGAAATATTAAAATAAAAATGTTTCTAGCTAAGCTTTCAGATATATGTTTCTGGATAAAACAATCATGCTTAGTATCAGCAGCTGGGAGGGAGGGCTAGATAAACAGGCACATATACAGTTGTGTGAAAAAGAAAGTTCCATCTTTGAGTTCTATGGTTTTACGTATGAGGACATAATAAAAATAATCTGGTCCCTAGCAGTTCTCAAAAGTAGGTAAATACAATT